TGAATCGGAGACTCTCGGCTAATTGGAAATTCCACTGAAGCTGAAAGCGAGAAGTTGTTGTCATCGGCGGCTGGCTTCTTTTCAATTCGGCTTACTCTAGGGTCCAGCGGCACGAATTCCTCAGCAGTGATGGCTTCAGGAAGGACTGTTCTTGCCAAGACTTTTAGAGGGTACAGCTCTTTCCAAACTGCATGGACTACTCAATTATTGCTTCTGGGAAGTCACGGGAACTCTTCTCTCCCCCACCAAGATGCGGCCAAGAGGCTTTAGAAACGCAGCCCCACAGGACACACTTGGCTGGGCAGGAAGGGCAAGGTGGTGGGTACCCCCAGGAAGGCTCCCCTCTACCCAACGGCCAGCAGGTAGCCTCTTTAGAGACCAGGGCAGAAGGTGAAGCCTTACATTTTGGCTTCTCTGGGCCCAACTCACTTTCCCAGCCTATTTCATGCGGCCCCAACCCCAGCCTCCTGTCCTAGGACAGCACCACCCTCACTGCCAACCTATGTCCATGCTCTTCTAGGCCCTGGCACACTGTCTTCTTATCTCGCCATCCAGGACGCCTCCTCTAGGAAGCCACCGTGACTACTAGTTCAACCAGAGTGAGTCTCTGACAGCTCCTGAACCACGGACAACAGGACTCACTCAGCTCTTACCTCCTATGCTTGCTTTTGGTTATCTCTGTATGTGTACGTGAGAGCTCCCCACCTGACTCTCAGTATATTAACAGTAGGCTCTGTGTTTTCCGTCAATCCTCATTTCCATAAGGACCAGAGAAGGCACTTAATATATGATTTTGTTTGTATAAATAATAATTTGTACAAATCTTTTATTCATGTGAAAAATAAATACTTTTATTTGTGCAATTTGTATGTTTAGTGCTCAGGAGTACAATATTTTGATAGGGCAGCCACAGAAAAGATGTAGCAAAAGCTGGCAACTCGGGCTGACAGCATGTTCCCTCTTCCATAGAAAAGGCATCCGGTGAAACATTTTCCCCATGAGATAATCCACACAAACCCAACCTTTAGGTCTCACAGCAAAATAAACCAGCCTCTGTTGATGGGCACCTGACCATGGTTAGCAGAGCAAAGAGGAAGATGACAAACGTACCTCAGTATAGCTTCCAAAGCATTTGTCAAAGGGACCACTACTTACAGCTACTGGAAGGGCTTCTGTTATCATTAGTATTGATGACTTCACAAATAACAATAACATTTTCTTTCTATCTTAATTCATACTAAACTTTAGCAAATATCAAATGAGAGACAAAGACGATCAAGACATCTGAGTCATGGTGCAATTCCAAAGCCAAAGGCATGGACAGAAAACTGATTCTAGCACATCTAGAAATTCAGAGATTCCACCTTACTTCATTCAGACTATGTGCACTCAAATATCAGAACACTGAATATTTCCTCCAGGCAGAAACAAAGTATTATAGATTAAATAAGCCAATCCTGTTCTCAGACAGGAACAAGAATGAGGTACAGTTTGTTTGTCTAGAGTGTAGCATTTTATGGACAAGAACTCCTGTGATACTTTGATTTCTTCAAGGTGGAGAGGAAGGGGGACCTTATGATCAGAGTTAGCACTCCACAAAAGGCATATTGTCCATCTGCTGTAGGAAACACATTGGCAGATGATCCAATAAAACAAGTGTCATCCATTAAAACCCACTTACAAAGGGAGGGCCTCTAAGGCTCGTCACTTAGCTATTAATAGGAAGCAAAATATTATTTGTTTACTCTATAGTCTTGCCCGACCTGGTACAGGAAAGATAATACATGTTCATTCGATGTATTCCTTCATCCCTTGTGAAGCCATATGACTAACAAATGTGAGCTACAACCCCAGACTGGAAAGATACTGCCTATCCCAGAAGTTCCTGACCACAAGGAGCAGACCATCTACAACCAACTCGAGAGTGAGTATCCCCCATGACAAGTTCCCTCCTGCCACAGGCCAGGTCACAGCAGCCACTGTCAGCCAATACCGCTTCCCCCAACCCCAGCCACCCCCCTCACCCTACCAGGGAACCTCCCCAGGGAAGGAATAGGTGAGAAACATTCAGAATCTCTGGGTCGATCCACCTTGGGTCCCCAGAAATTCCTGTTACACGTGAAGAGTGGCTTTGACATTGAATACCCAGGATACAAAGTCACCGTGATTCCCCTCCCCAAGAAATGGCCAAGCAAGGAGTGAAGATGCTGAGGATAAGGGTGCAAATACATAGACTGTGATGTGCATTATTTCATTTAAATCCTCATAGCAACTTCATCTAGCAGAGATGACGCCTGTTTCACAGAGAGTGAAACTAAGCTTTAAAGCTTGAACCCAGATCCACCTGCAGCCACAGCCACAGTGCTGTCCCCCAGTGTCATTCTGACTTCTGGCTCTCCAGTCTTCTTAAAAGCGAGCATATTAAAAATAATCCCCCATTAACAAAGAACAGAGTACTATAGATTCCCACTCATAAGTGGACCTTGAACAATTATAATTCTATAAGAAAGGGATTGGCAGTTGAGGGAAACTGTTGGGGGAGGGAGGGGCACATCTCTTCAACAAGGGTACCTGCATAATCAACGTTTGTATACCTAACCCTGAATTGTACCCCCACATCTTTATAATAAATAAATAAATAAATAAATAAATAAAATTTTAAAAATGTGCCCCACATCTTTATAATAAATAAATAAAATAAAAATAATCTCCCATTTTAACTATAAAGACACAAATTCTAGTTATATCTAAACATGACGGGCCAAGAGTTAAGATTCCTCTGTTAGGTCATTTGTGGATATAACCGCTTCCTCTGGCTTCTAAACAGAATCAAAGTGTTCACGTTTTAATAAATGAATGGAAATGACATCTGGGAAAAGGTCTTAAAAAAGCAGGAAAGAATACTAGCAAGAAAGGGAGCAGGGGAAGAGGTGAAGGAAGGGAAGGGAAGGGAAGGGAAGGGAAGGGAAGGGAAGGGAAGGAAAGGGAAGGGAAGGGAGGGAAGGGAAGGGAAGGGAAGGGAAGCCCTACCAACAAGGAAGACCTCAGGGGAAGTCCCCAAAGTGAAGAAGGAGCATCCCAGAGACACAGAGAAAGGCTGCGGAGCGCCCAGGGTAGACAAGGGTTTGGTCTGCCTGGTTTTCACACAGATCTCAAATTGAGTCAGGATACCACACACAGCCACAGTGTTCTCTGCCCGGTTTATCCTGTGTGTTTGCTGTCACTCAAGTCTAGAGAAAAAGTAAGAAACTGCCTTTCCATTGCCCTTCTCCTCCTAAGACCTCCTGGCTTGAGTCTAGCTGACCTATCTTGAGTACGCGTCCTTGGGGGATTCAGTTCTAAGAGCTTCATTCGTCTGTCCTGTGCAATGCTCAGATAACCATTCTCATGTCCCCATCGTGCAGATGAAGGCACTGAGGCACAGGAGCCAAAATAATCTGCCTGACTGCTCAGTAAGTGCTGGGTCAGGCCCAGCTGGCAGATTGGCTTGAAGCAAGCACACGCTCGCTCCAAGGTTGCTTCATCGCTTGGTGGTATGGCTCAGGAGCATTGTTCATCCCAGGAAAGGCCAACAAGAATGGTCCTTCAGTGCTGCCAGACCTCTGGCATGCTGCTTGTTAGTCTTCAGGGAGGTGCTCGCCTGCTTCCAGTCCCCCACCACACCCTGTCCCTCCTCCCTTCCTGGTCCCTGTACCCTCAGTAGGACATGGAGAGTGAGCACATCAATGCTGACCCAGATCTGGAGGGAGTCCAAGCCTGCAGGCCAGACGACTCCCCCGGAGGCAAGCTGCATTGCACAGAGGCTACAGCGCAAAACCTGACCAGAGGAAAACCCAGGCTACGCGCCAAGAAAGCACACACCCTAGCCCTAACCTTTGAGAACTGTCTTTGCAAAGTATGGCCACAGGAACTCGAAGAACATTCAATATCAGAAAAAGCAAGTTGATCTCAGTTGAGGAAAACTATTTGTACTATTAGACTCTTGAATTCAGCAAGCACAAATAGCAGACATAAAATTCACTAGAGTGTAGTCATTTTCATAATGAGAACATACATAACTTGCCCCCAATATAAAAATACAGTAGGAATAGAGAAAGTTGTTTCTTTTTTTAAATCCCCTCCCATTTTTACATGTGCAGCACCGGTACTTATGTAGTCTGATTTCCATAACAAACATTAGAAAATCCTCAAAATAATGTCAGTAAAGCTGGGAAGAGAAGTGGAATGTCTCAAGAAATGAGTTTGGTGAGAAGACCCTGTGAAGAGGTCAGTGGGACAAACGTTCTCCCAGGGTATGTTACTACAGACTGAGGTTCACCACAGCCTACACCACAGTCTGCTTCCAGGGACACACAGGAAGCGACATGCCAGGCTTCCAGAGAAGAGGTTTACAGGGTTCCAAGCTGGCTTCTCTCTCCCCACTTGTCTCAAAAATCACGAGATCAAAAAAATCAATGAACTTCAAACACTGATTTCACCCTTCCAAGTTCAAGAAATGCTCAGAACCTCAGCCTTGGGGATTCACACATGTAGAAACCTCACTCAAGTTATTCCATCCAGCATCTAACAGAAAAACACATAATCAGAACCTTTAAAAGTCCCATATAGATTTTTCTACTTTCTCATCTTAATTACATGATCCATTACGGGTCCTCCACCTATCTTTCTTTGCTCCTTTAAAATTACTCCCAAAGTGATAAAGCTGTTATGAAGAATACAGAATCAATCTAGGATTTCTTGGAATCCTGTCAGTGCCTCTCAGACACGTAGCAAAAGCCTATTCCAAATACAGTGCCGCTGACCGTCTCAGAGAACAGAATGGATTTCCTGCTTTTAGACAAGCCATCTCTATCCTAAAAGAAGAAAACATCACCCTTGTGAAAATGCAAATCTCCTTCCTTAACCAGAAAATCACATCCTTGCATTTCCCGGTGACCCCACCTCCTAACCATTTCAAACCACATGGGACAGATGCCACCAAGGCAAGAGGGGGGACTTACAGTTGAAGATGCCCGGAGGCGGATGCTCAGTCACCAGGAGACAGTTCTCTTCGTCACTGTTGTCCCCACAGTCGTTCTGTTGGTTACAGACCAGCGAACCAAGATACAAGCATTTACCGCTGGTGCAGGTGAATTTGCACTCTGAAAAAGTACAATATAAAGCATGAAGCAGTCAATGCAAGCTTGGTGCTCTTGAGTTGTTACTGTTGTTGGTTTTCTTTCCCCCATTTGCCTGTCATGACGATTAGGGAGCTCAGACTATCTGGAGATCCCAGGAACTAAACTCAGAAAAGGGTCCATCTGGGTGCACTCTGCAGGGGCACGCCGAGGCCCGTCATACACTGCTTGCCCCATGGCACTGCCCACAACATGCCTAACACTGGTCTTCCCACAGGCTGCCCTGCAAAAGTCCTATCCGTGGGGCCCTATTATGCTGCTTAAAAACACCCTCGGCAGTTCTCAGCACCTCCAAGGGTGGGAGGCGGGGGGCAGTGCAGCCAGCAGGGGCAATGGCTCCAGCAGAACTCAGGAGCTCTGGTGTGAAAAAAAGAAGGCTCACACATTTTAATTCTCACTTGTCACTGCCCTACAGTAAAACTCTGGGCAAAATATTTACCTTTTCTGGTGTTCGTTCATCTCACACCTAAGAAAAACCAGGTTTAAAACCAGGCAGAGGTAGCACTGATCTTATCATATAAAACACAGAAAAGAATGTGTGCCCTCTGCTACCGGGCCACATTGGTAAATTGTAAAAGTAGGGCAGTGTCCATATCCAAACTCCGGTAGGCCCACACTGACACAGGATCCTTGGAATCTATTGTACAAATCAGCATTTGGAAATAGAATTCAGTTTTATATAGCTTTAAATTTGCAGGCTTAACACATTGCTAGCAACATATAGCAAAAATAAAGGAAATCACACAATTATACACACTTGTGTACATAAAGGTGCATCGCATCCGGCAAGGACCACATCTTGTTTTCTGACTGTGGGCTCTTCCTAGGAGCACCCGCAGAAGCCGGTAGGATTCACACGGCATGGTCCACCATGGACAGCCAGTAGAAAGGGCCTCAGGAAGAATCCCACGTCCCCACTGCAGTTGACTATCACAGCCTCTTCATTTCTCCAGGCCTTGGTTCTGTCTATTTGGAATAAGGGCGGCAGGCCTGGATCAAGTCCGAGGTCTTTTCAATTTTTCGGCAATGAATATTCCATCATTCAAATAAAAGACTGGGCATCAGTACACAAGGCCTCTTCCAGCTATGCTAACCATGCAGGGGGCTGCCCTAGACCAGCCTGTGCACTTCTGAGGGGCTGACTGCAACCCACAAAGCGAATACCCCTTACCTGTTGCGAAGAGACAGAACTTAAGTTCTCAAAGTGTTTTTACGAACCCACATGCAAAGGGTATTATAATCTTCCATTTGTTCACATTCTCCTAAAAGAGTATAGAAAAAGAAACCAGCCGAGCTGCTGACCTAGTTTAGAATAACATGTGAACACAGCCCAAATGCACACCCACAAGCGCCTCCCTGGCTGCGCCATCCGGGTCAGAAAATCTGTGTGCTGAGTGTGACCGGGCCATGTGGGAGAGGCACTGCCGGAGCCCAGCTCTCCTTCCATAAGGTGGAAAGATTAAAATCCAGCTGTTTGAAATCACATTTATGAAGTGACATTTTTTAACTTAATGGAAACAAGGGATAGCAAAGGAAAAATTTATCTTCCTTTCCAAAAGAAATATTGGACTACAGATTAATACCAAACATGAAAAGGACATTAACCAAAAACAGGTATTCCCGGTGTTGCTGAAAGGGTGATTGGAAAAAAAAGGGAATTCTAAACTGAACTGAGTCAAACTCTCACTGAAAATTTAACCATTGCTGTGGTTTGAAAGGCTCTGATGTGAGACTACCATATTCAAGTTGGTGTGGAACTTTGGACCAGCAAGGAAGTGAAACCGCATCCACCACTTGACTCCTTTTAATTTGTTTGAGGGAGACAGTGTATTTGCAAGGAAATGAATTATGTGATTCATTCATTCATGTAACCAATATGTGAGCCCCCTTTATGCTATGTGCTAGGCACTAAGACATGCAAACATAGGTATGAAAGAGCCAGCCCTCTTCAAAGAGCTTACAATATGAATTTTTAAAATATGAGCAGTGACTAATATGCTACCTCCTTCTAAGGTCATGGATTTCCCGTCTAGTGCTGCTCAACCAGAAACAGGTACTTGGTGAATCACATGTATACCGAATACACAAATAATATAATCTGAGTCTCGTAAAAACCCTATGGAATAATTAAGGCAGACACTATTATTCCCATTTCGCCCATCCCACTATGCTGCCTCCAAATCCAGTACAAGATTCCCTTGTAATGAGCAAGCCAACATGCATGACAGAGTTCTCAAAATCGCTTGTTGTCTTAAGTATGCTTAACATTCCTCAGGAAACACTAACAAAGCTTGTGCTGCTGACTTGCTTAGAATGCTCTTACTTTTTAGATAATGGAAATATCGCCATCAACACATTATATTTCAAACTCAGTCCGGCTTGGTGGCTCACACCTGTCATCCTAGAACTTTGGGAAGCCAAGGAGTGAGGATAGCTTGAGCCCAGGAGTTCAAGACCAGTATGAGCAACATAACAAGATCTTTTGTCCACAAAACAATTTCTTAAAATTAGCCAGGCGTAGTAGGGAGCACTTGTGGCTTCAACTACTTAGGAGGCTAAGGCAGGAAGATCACTGGAGCCCAGGAGTTCGTGGTTGCCATGAGCTGTGATTGTGCCACTGCGTACTCCAGACTTGGGGGGAGGGGTGGGGTTGTGGGGGAGTGGACAGAGGGAGACCTCATTTCCAAAAAAAAAAAAAAAATTCAAAATTGTAAAGTTTAAATCTTCTCGGTGGTAAGTCATTAGCCCAACATCAGAGTAAAGCTCTTTCCATCACGTGGCCACTGGAATCAGAATGACTGGACTGAGACTTTGAATCCATTGGCTTCTTGATGTAATCAAGAAAATACTAGAAAGTTGCTATAATGTTACTAAGTGCTAAGGATTAATGCTAAAACTGGAATAAAACTGTAGACCAGAGTAAAAACATCTGTCCAAGTTAACAAAACTGGTATTGACAGGACAGGTGCAGTCTCCCACCCTTATCCTGACTCCCCTCCAAGGCCATCTCCAGCACAGTTGGCCATCCCAAAGCCCAATGCATTCAGGTCCTCTAATGGTTACTATAACATCTCAAACTCATCAACAGCCCTAGAAGAAAGACTCTTGGCTCAACTGCATAACAGAATCACTGGGGCATCTTTCAACACTGCTGATGCCTGGGACCCAGTGGGGCCCTGATCTCCTTGGCCTGGGGGGCTGCTGGCCTATGGGAGTTTCTAGCACCTTCAGCCTGACTGATGGGCAGCCCAGATGGAGAGCCACTGCCTACTGCCTACTGAGACATAGACAACTCCCTGACAGTAAGTCCTCTCTTTTAGCTAGTGATACTTTATTAAAATGTTTAGTTGGTATTTGCTAATTTATGAAAAAGAAAACTAAAATATAATCTCCAAAAAAAGTCAGATATTCAGATAATTCCTGGCCACAGGCCCAGTTGTTTCAGCTCTGTTCTGTCAATGGGCTATTTTAGAAACTTTGGAACCAATGTAGTTTTGACTCTAAACTACATTTTGACACACCAGAACCAGCAAGAGTTCTCACTGGAGTAAAAATAGAAGAATTTTTTAAAAATATTTTCTTATAATATTTTGCCCTTTCTTTTAGAACTTGTTGAGTATTACTGCCAAGCCAGAATTTGAGGGAAATCAAAGATTGTTAATCATTAGAAATATTGGTGACAAATTCATGGTGATTTCAGGTGCATAATATGAGGATGAAATAGAGAATGATCAATACGGGAACCAATGTTTCCTTCAGAAGCTATCGATTTATTAAAGACATTTGTAACATTTAAATACGATCTCTTCTTTTAAAAAAAAGTCAAGACTTTTTAGTGAAGAAAATGGCATTCCTTTTTGCCATAATTCTCTATTTGATTTCTTATTAGAAAAATAAAAACTGCCAGAATCAAAAACAGATTTTAGAATCACTATACATGCTTCTAGTAATAACAGAATTCTCTCCAGATTTAGGGTCTTGTTTAGCTTCCTACAGTCCTCCATAAACCTCCTGATGGAATTTTCAGTGTGTGGGAATTATCCCAGACTCATAAAGTCATAATGCTGAGAGGGACCGTGAGGCATACTGGGCCCATCCTTCATCTCACAGGTGAAGAAGTCCAAATGGGAATCTTTGACTTACCCAAAGATGGAGAACAAATTTCTCTGTAGTAGAACATAATACCTAAGATTTCCAGCAAATTGAGGGAAAAAAAAAAACAAACCTTTTTATCCTGAAGGTCATTCTAATTATGCACAAACTAATATCAACCAGTTGGTCTATAGCATGTGAGCACAGAAAGGAAAAGAATGACTAGAGGGAAGAGAATTTCCTAATTTAAGAGTCCTGAAACCAGGAAACAAAATGAAATTGCCTAAGGTTTTTTGTGAATTACACCCCATATTTTTAAAAACTTTAAGGACCAGTAGCTTGACAACTTTGAATATTTGAAACTTTAACTCGGACAAGATTCAAAGATAAATGCTCAGTCTTGAGCAGGAGAACAAATCAGCCTCATGGAGATTACATTTAATTCACTTGGTAGAATCAATCTATTAGTTAACAGGCAACAAAAAGTTGTTTCCTACACTCTTTTAAAGCCTTAGTTTTCACAGATATGATCTCAGTCACAAAATAAGAACCTATATACAGTATTACATCTCAGTTGTAAAATCAGCCTTTTTTGTGAATTGGCAGAGTAGTCTACATTAGTTATTTCTGTTAAAATTCATATAGCAACACTGACTCATTTAGTTCACACTTCTATCATTCACAAACCTGAAAACAGAGTGATTCTGGCTCCATCATTTCTGACATGAAAGCCTAGAACTTGTCGGTAATAGGGGCCTTTTCAACGTACTTACATTAATGGATAACAAAGAAGTCAACTGTAGCTGTTGGTAAAGTATACATGGTAAAGTATACATAAAGAATTAACAGGTTTCCAAGATTAGTATAAATAA